CAGGAGCTCAGCAGGGAACAGCCTGCAGCCCAAATAGGAGGGCTAATGGGCACAACAGCTATTTAAAAGTGATCACACTTAACTACTTTGCTGTAGTCTTCCTTTTCCTCTTTAGCCTTCATCACTTTGGAGTTCACAAGTTATTTTCGCTGTTACTCATTAATTACAGTGCCAATCCATTTATCCGTGAAACATTTGTAAACAGAGATGCCCTTTAGGATGCAAGGATTGGAGTTTCAGTTGCAGTGGATTTGATGGTTGCAAGTGAGTTAGGAGGAAAGAAGCGGGGAGAGGAAATCTAGAAATGGCAGAGATCCATGTTTGTTTCTTTATCCACTTAAATGGAACAATTTCTATTACACAGTGTGAAAAAAAATATTTCCATTATTTAGTTGTATTTTTCTACAGCTGTAATGATCTAAGGACATAAGCATAATAACATTTATAAGTAGAGGTAATACTCCATACCAGCTGGCATAGAGTCTAATTTTCTAGCTGTACTGGTTGATCCAATAAAAACTGCTACCTCTACCTACAAACCTTGTCACAGGAAACTAACTGATGAGGATTAGAAGATTTTCATTAATAACCTCCAAGCCAAAATCTCACATGATCTCCCAGCAAGAGAGCCAGAAAGTAGAGTCAATGTACTTGGCTTCCTTTCTTCTCATTTTGCTGTCCTGGGCTTAGGCATACTGATTGCTCTAGTATTATCACAGAGTCACCCTCTGTGGCTCACCAAGGATGCCCCCCTTACAGTCAGTAGCAAGAAAGATGGCCTACCCTTGTGCTATGATTCCTAACCCTTCTTGAAGTCAGTATCACCGTTGCCACCTCTTCTCTTTCTCTTCCTCCATCTCACCTTCTCCCTACAGCTACCTTTTCTCTGCAATCCTCCCTCCAACTTCAGGTCCCTCCTGCCACATCCTCATCCGCCCTCCCCCCAAAATTCTCTTTACCACCTCCTTTCGTATATGGGATCCCCAGCTCCCACTGGAAAAGCTTGGCAGCTCACACTTTTCTCTCTGCACCACTTCATCTCTAATGCTGGGAACCTTTGTCCCAAGAAAACCAAATGTTCATCTGGGAGTATAACATTCCAGTTATACCAGTCATTTATCATACTTCTGCCCCACACTTGTGCCAGGCAACAGAGTAAATAAGTAACATGCATCTGTCACAAGAAGAGGTACAAACACTGGTATGTTCTGGAAGTCATCATAAAAAAATACTCAAATCTGACAACCCATAAAAAACTCCTGGAGGGAATACAAATAGGAGCTAAAAAGGTAAAGACTCACAGCCCCCAGAGCCCTTACATTACTAGAGCAATTGCTTGCTACAGCAGAGGTGGCAAAGCTCTGTCTGGACATTAGCACAAGCTGGGTTTGCTTCTCTAGCCTGCAAGGGACTTGAAGGTCTCCCACACTCAATAACAGAATCAGAAAATATGGGGTGTGCAAAGAAACATTTTATTAATCTTCTTATAATCAACTGTATGAGATTCAACAAGGCCAAGTGCCGGGTCCTGCACTTTGGCCACAACAACCCCATGCAGCGCTACAGGCTTGGGGAAGAGTGGCTGGAAAGCTGCCTGGCGGAAAAGGACCTGGGGGTGCTGGTTGACAGCCGGCTGAACATGAGCCGGCAGTGTGCCCAGGTGGCCAAGAAGGCCAATGGCATCCTGGCCTGTATCAGAAATAGTGTGGCCAGCAGTAGGGAAGTGATCGTGCCCCTGTACTCGGCACTGGTGAGGCCGCACCTCGAATACTGTGTTCAGTTTTGGGCCCCTCACTACAAGAAGGATGTTGAGATGTTGGAACGTGTCCAGAGAAGGGCAACGAGGCTGGTGAAGGGTCTGGAGAAAAAGTCTTATGAGGAGCAGCGGAGGGAGCTGGGACTGTTTAGCCTGGAGAAAAGGAGGCTGAGGGGAGACCTCATCGCTCTCTACAACTACCTGAAAGGAGGCTGTAACAAGGCGGGTGTTGGTCTCTTCTCCCAAGTAACAAGTGATAGGACGAGAGGAAATGGCTTCAAGTTGTGCCAGGGGAGGTTTGGTTTGGTGGGGGGAAAAAATGTCTTTACTGAAAGAGTGGTTAAACATTGGACCAGGCTGGCCAGGGGGGGGGTTGAGTCCCCATCCCTGGAAGTATTTAAAAGACATGTAGATGAGGTGCTTAGGGACATGGTTTAGGGGACATGGTGGTGTTGGGTTGACGGTTGGACTTGATGACCTTAGAGGTCTTTTCCAAAGATTCTATGATTCTATGATTCCCAAAAGAAAGTTCTCTCACAGGCTTTCAAGGACATTAATCTGACCACTGAATCCAGGAACACGCAGCACTGAGTGGCTAGGAGAAAAGTATTTTGTTTGCCTATACTACGAAAACAAAAACAAAGAAATCTGAGCCTGCCCATGCATCAGCCACACCGTATCAGGCTGGTTTAGTTTTCTGCCTCCAGTCACCACCAGCTGGACTCCTCTCTTGATGGCCACTGTCATTTTTCCATTTTTGTTCCTTGAGGTCCAGATAACTGTCTATTTTTGGAGGAGCAGACCTCCAAGAATTTAAGGTCTTTGCAAAGGTCAGTTGGTGATATGCTGTACTCTTCTTACCCAAGACCTTTGTTCAAGCAACAAAACATTTAACTCCCTCTTGCCTCGTGTGCAGCTGTCTGTTGAAGAATCCCTGAATCTAAATAAAAAATGGAAGGGGAAGAAAGCATAATCATTAAATGAAAGGGTAACTAATATATTCTGTCCCTTTATTATGACAGTATATTTCCCAGGTGGGGGGGGGTCAGCTAATTTAATGTCCTATAAAGGCTATTCAAAGGAAGGATTTACTCGATAGTGAGAATGGGGAAAGATCAGATTTCACACCACAACTTTTAAATACAAAGATTTATTATAGCCTTAAGTTTTAAACGATTGGTTGATCTTATAAGACGCTGTTCAAAGCTGCAGTTGAAAGCTATTGGAAATATTCATTACATGACCCATAGCAATAATGGTAAGTCTTGTAAAAGTTACTAGTGTTGTCAGGTTAGCACACAAAAAGGTTAGCACACAAAAGTAAAGAAAACATCAAAGATACATTTTTTTTCTGTGTTTAAAACTATTGGCAAATTGAATTTAGGAATTTGTTAGGGATGCACTAGGAATCTGATGTTTCGTTTTAGCTGTCTAAAATTGTCATTCATGCAGCTGTTAGCAGCTACTAACACGGAAATTATTTAAAAAGAGAACACGCTGCAGAACAGCTGAAACTTTCACCTCCCTGTATCTCTCTTTCAGACCATCAGTTTGGAAGGTCTGGTTTTCATCCTGCCTTTCCTCATTGCCTTATACAAGGTTATGTTCAAACTGGGGAAATTAGAAATCACCTCTAAGTCAAACAGTGTCTGAAATCTGCCCACAAATTGGTTCTCTTTGTCCAACCTAAACTTCATAGCCCACAAAATAACAGTGTCATTCTTGCACAAGTGATCAAAAGTTAGGAGGAGTTCATCCAGGAAGGGATGGTGGTAAACTACATCAGCAGCCATAATGTAGTCGAAGTGACAGGAAGACCTAGGAAAGTTCTTTTCCAGATCAATTCCCCAAGACAATTCCTTAACGCAAGGCTGATGCTTGCATTTCAGCTTTGTATTTTGGAGAACGTTATGCTGAAGGTTTCCCAACAGTTCTGGCAAATCAGTGACAGTCACAAGTGCACCTGTGACAGGGAGAAAACAAACATAATCTTTGAATATACTTCAAGACTTGAGTAAAAGCCCATTCACAAAAGCCACTGCACAAGGAACTGATTTTACCAGGTAGCTCTCACTGAGGGGAACAGAACAATGTAAATGCTCCAAATACCTCTTAGCCATTGTGCTTAAAATAAATATTTGGTTCCCAGTAGTTCTACTCTACAGATTGTCATTTAAATCCAGCTGGGGATGGGTGGGGAGAAATCAGATACTTACTGCATCTTGATATCATATTGGTTAAAAGTACAGTGAGCGACTAGGGATTGAAGAATACCAGTCACTGACTCCAAGAAGTCAGCATGAGATTTAAGCATTGCCTCAGGTTTTTTCTTTTTCACATAGGAAGAAGCTTTCTCAGACTACAGAAAGCTAAAAATTCTGTTAAAATTCCGAAGTCACTGATCTGGATTACTCTTGAGGAAGAATAGGCTACCATGAGATAAAACACAACAGTGTCTGTAGCAGAAAAATCAAGCTGCTGATAGGTTGCTGAAAGAAAATGCTGAACATAAATGGAAAGAAAGTGACCTGGCATCCAAGAGCTGTTTGGTCAATGGAAGGTGATGCATTGAGTCATACCTACATCTGGTTGCCACTGACATCCTGTGAGGCCACTAGTTTCTTACCTTGGTCCCCTGTTTAACACCGTTAATGACATCATCATCTACTGGGACCTCCTTTAATGCATCAGTACACTCACAGCTTTACAGAAAAAAATAACAGAGCAGGTTTCCAAACAAGCCTTTTGGAATTTACTTTTTCTTGCTTTTGGAAGCTTTCAAACAACAGTCTTTTAGAACTGAGCCACTTCCTTTGTCCTCCAGTATTCATCTGACAGATGTTTTCAAGAGTGTAAGAGCAACGGCATGTACTCACCCAGTAAACTGGCTACTATGGAGACCAACCCAGTTCCAGCTCCAATTTCAATCACATTTTTGTCAACCAAATTGTATTGTTTAGAATTCGTTTCCAAAAAATAACACAGAACAAGAGCCTGTAGGGGAGGGAATCCATGAACATACTGAACAAATAAATGAAATAAATCCCCTCACTAAATATGCATTGTCATTTAAAAGCATGCAAAAAAATTCTTGTCTGTTCAAATGAGCAAGATTCATTCAAGCACAGTCCCTAAAGGATCACAGCTCGCTATGATCTTTGAGCTCTATAGGCTGACAAAATAAATGCCACAACATGCCTCAATATAGGCTTGCAAAGCATTAAAGCCAGAAGGAACAACTGCAATTACCTAATCTGTCATGCTGTATAACATGAGCTATAAAATTCCGGTCAGCAATTCCTGCTTATAACTGCACTTACTTTTGGTTGAGTTAAAATGTGTCCTTCACAAAGACATCTTGATATAAGGACTGCTTGTGAGAGAAAATCCACAACAACCCTTGTTAAGCTCTTCCAATAGTTAATTATTTCTAACAATAATTAATTACCATAATGATTCAAAAGGGACCAATAAATTCACCCCTTTTCTTTCAGTTCAGTTTCAGTTTCTATGTGCTTACCTTGTTAAGCTTAGCAAACTTTTATAGCAAACAAAGCCACAAAGAGCCCTCTACAACAGACTCCTTATATATGCATTTATAAAACATAATTAAGCAGCTTCTGCAGCTTTTCTGCCCTGTCTCATACTGACCACTGAGTTTTAGTTCACTGTTGAAGTAGAAATTGCTAATTTTATTTCTCTGGCAAAGATAGTTTCCAGCTTGGCTCACACATTTTTTCCCAGACTTCGATAATTATGTAGTCTCCATTGACAAATACGTATGATGGTTGCCACATTGTTTTGCAATACAGATGACCATTTGGAAAGGCAATTATTAGTGGTTTAGTCTGGTACAGAAAAATTACGCTCTTAGTTTTGCTTTAAAGCAATTAAGAAGTAGAAGGAAAGGAACAGGAGGACTGTTGACCCAATGTTGACATGCTAGAAATTCAAACAAATTTTTTGCGTTCTACCTCTTAAGCAAAAAGAGCAAAAAGAGTAGGGTCTTCTATGCGAACTTACATATATCTCATAATCAACAAAGCTTTGATATAGAAATAAGTCTGTGAGCACCAGGACTAATTAAAGCCAGGTTCCTAAAGATTGTGTCTGATGTTTGACTGATATTTAAAAACACATTATATTAAGATTTCCTGTTAGTTCCATCTATTCCTATAATTTCTTCCCTCAGAGCTTTTCCATATTCTGTTGTAGAAACTGGCTGGCAGGATCAAAATTTCTGTGGGTTAAATTAGGGAAACTTTGAAATCTGTCTTCCTTTCCATGAAACATGCAGAAACTTTATTTTCCTTAAAGTTTCTGCCCTCTCGACAAATTTGGCTGACGTTTTTCGGAAGAGTTCAAATACTGCTGGATGGGACAGGAAGGGAGAACATGAAGAGAGACAGACAGAATGGTTGCCTTCCTTCCACAGCAAAACCAGCTAAACCCTTCCAGAAAAAAAATATGCTTTTCAGTACAGCCCATGATTTTGTGAGAATAATTGGCCGCCAGCCAACCTTTCCTTGAAGACATGCACTGAAGCCACTAAGAGATATAGTATAAATGACTTGTCCAGGTCTGCTAAGACAAGAAAAATTGTTTGGAGTTCAAAACAGCAAAGTACTCTAACTCTTCTCAGCTGAACTATGGCCATACTTCTTAAAAACCGTACAATCCTAGGAGGCTGATACCGTTGGGACAGAAACGGAGCCTCCTGGGTTTTAGTCCTCTCCCTCTTACAGGGGCTTCTGGAGATGGTTCTGTTTCAGGGATGTTCTCTGAATGCCGCAAGTGTCAATGGTGCATTGTGGCACCTCCCTGACCGCAGTGGGTTTTCTCACTCTTAATTATTTCAAAACAGTCAGTTAGCTGCATTGCACAGATTCAAAACCTTGAAGAAGGCTCTTTGTATGGTGGGCATGCTGATGGTTCTTATATCAAGAGCCAAGGACAATGGTTCTCTCCCACTAGATTTCTGGCTGTTTAAGAAACTGAAAGCTCCAGCTGAACTTTTTCCCTTGTCTGAGTATTTACAAGGTAAATTTGTTTCTCACATGAGTAAGTTGAGTAACTTCTATGAGTGCTAATACCTTGCGAGCTCATATCACAGCTGTTTCCACAACCTGGATCTGCCTGCTATACAGCCATCTGTATTTATAAAATGTACAGGAAATGTAATCATCGTAAGACTGCCGTATTTCCTTTGAAATATGCTTGTAATTGGCCAATAGGATCAAAAGTTACTGGTAGGTGAGGAGGGGACACAACATCATACATCTTGTGTGATAGGGGCACAAACAAGGAATACCATTTAAGCTTTGAGAACCAGGAATCCATATGAAACCAGGCTAAATTCAGGTTTGGGACTTGCAGAGTGGAGTCAGAGAAGCACAGAATGTTTTCCTTGGGTTTACAACATACAACAAAACATATCTATCATGCAAAACAAATTAAAAGTGCTAGAAAACTCCAAAACTAAAAAATAACAATGCTGCATAAATATTGTACCGATGGCCAGACGACTGCCCCGTAACAATCAGTGGCTTCTGTAATTCTTATCTCATGGCCAGCAAAGTGAAAGCCTTCCCAGGACTTATGAGTTATAAGAGCAGGAAAAAAACGCCTTCTCATGATTTCTGCAACTATCTGTTCATCTTCTTTTTCTCCTGGAAGCAAAAGTATGAAAGGTCAAACAGGCTGAGTGGACTGATAATGAAACTACCAATTTATATTGAAAAGCTGATTTGGAAGCAAGAATGTGAATTTCGTCTGTGAATAAAAATACATTTCACCATTAATGGTTAGCATGATACATGGGAAGTCTCCTGAATTCTAATTGAAGTTTTCAGTTTATGACTAAATAATTTCTTTCCTGTTTTGCTGAAGAAGACGAGTTCATAAAAAGTAAAGAAGTGGAATGTTACCATATATTGCTTTCCATTTCAGCAATCCAAAGGAAATTTTTTAACTTCTTTTTCTCTTCAAGAACAGCTGCCCTAGTATAGACACTCATGGTCTTATGTGCCTGGATTTTTTACTATTTTCCATATCCTTTTACTGTTCACTTTCACCACATTATGGTTCTTTTTGACAGTAAACAAAAGGAGCCACAGTATCATTTATAAGTCTGTCACAAAACTTGTGAAACAGATCCTAGCAACACAAATTATGACAGACAGGAGCGAAAACACTAGTGTTGTCAGGAAAACTTATGCACCCACCCCAACAGAGACCTGTCAGAGAGATTATTTCCAGTTGGCTTGATATCCTGAATGCCATCCCTGTTGCTAAGCGAAGGATATTTATGATAGCTAACATAATCCCAGATAATTCTTCTAACAGGAGAGGACTTACTCTTTTTTAGGTGAATACCAAGCCAGTTTCAGTTTTGCCATCATCACACAAAGCTGCACCACAATGTTACAAAAAAAACATGTAAGTGAAGCTGCCCAGAGCATTTTCTTAGCAAAGTGTAGAATCGTTCCAAGTTTTCACAGGAAATTTGCTTTCACAGCCAACTATGATCTCTTGGCAAATTAGCTAAATCAAAACATGTTTACAAGCTACACCTCCTAGAAAGCATGCTAGCGATTTAGATAACTGGGTTACCATCTTGTCCAAAGCAGAGTTTCTGTATCAAGCCTGCAGTTACCATCGAAATCACAGATATCAAGATCGGGATCTGCACGGAAACGGCAGGCCCAATGGCTATTAAAAATGAAAACATTTATGTTTTCATCACCATAAAACACATTCATCTGGCGAAGATTCTTCACCTTTTCTTCCCCCTCAAATCACTGCTGTCACAGGACATGATGGCCTCAAGTGTTGTCATTTGCTCTGTCATATGCCTCAGTATTTTTACTGCCATAATCTATTGACAAAGTCTCTCCCTTCCTTGTGATAGAAGGACCAAGGAACAAAAGCAGGGGAGAACAAAGAAAGAGATGATACCAAACAAAATCACATCAGGAAGATGCTCAGGCTCATTAGCCAGTGCTTTAAGCTTGTAACTCAACTTACCCTAAGCATCAGAGGAAACTAGAGAATAGCAACAAACATGAAAGAAAAAGCAAAAATGTTCATGTTCAATGTTAATATGTTGACACTAAGACATAATCTGAAAGTTAAAAATCAAACAAACAAAAAAAAACCAACAACAACAAACAACTAACCAACCAATGTACTCCACAATTTATTGGCGGGGGGAACCCTAATCATGGAATACAGCAAAATTAAAAATAATGTAATGCATATACTACTGGAAAAAATATAAACAGCATAATTTTATAAAGTTAACTTAAATGAAATAGTCAACATTGAAACTATGATATTTTAAGATGTTAGGAAATAAGCAGTATGTGGCAGCCCATTACCTCTTCTGCAAGCCTCTAACGTTGAGAGAAAACACATGCATCATTGTGCCTGCAAGCAGGGAAGTCTGCACAAACATGAGTTAAGTGCCAGAGAAATGCTGCTCCACGACAAAATTGATCTTTTCTTATGAAAGAATTAATATGAAGCTGTCTTATTACACATATTGTAAGTCTATTTAACACATCATCCTGTTTACAGGCATACCAGATACAGCCTGCTTTTAATCTTCTCTGATTGCTTAGAGCAGTCTGATCTCGTTCTGTGATCATTACTAGCTGTGGAAGTAAAAAGCTATTCCTTCTGTAACCTCCCAATTACAACCATTTTTCTTGATTCTTCCTCCCTTGACATCTGTTTTGGATCCAATTTTGTTGAGAAGCCATAACTTTTTAAGTCTTAAGTTATAAAGCTTCTGCCAGAAGATCTATAAAACCTTAGCGGTATTACAGATACCCCCTCTAGTGCTCAATAAACATTTCCCACCTATTCCCTACAGTATCAGCAATCTTTCTACTTAAGGCTTGCATAGCACCTACGCTAACAGAATTTCTAGGCCACTGCTCCCTACCTGAGCTAAACTGTCCACACCCCTGAAAGAAGAATCCCAAATCTGCTGATTAATAACACCACATAAATCTTTGGCCATCTTACCCTTTGGTAATCCCCCAGGTGGGTTATCTGGAGAGGTTTACATAATTTTTATATTTTTGTCTTCCTCTTAAGAAGATCTTATTATTGTGGAGAATCAAAAAAAGTATTTCTTTCATCAGAGACATCATACGGTAGACAGGCTTCAAAACCCTAATGAGAAATTTTATCAGGACCAGGATGCTAATGGTTCTGACAAAGAGTGCTGACAAAAAAAAGGAGTGCAGACTTTTAGTCTGATTTGCTTACCTACATACAAGTTTTCTTTCATACTGCAAAAGGCACTCTTCTATTTTCTGCTTTATATCTTTCAGAATAACTAAACTTCTTGTGGGACTGCACAAAAGGAAAGAAGTTAATTTTTCTGTAACTGCCTTCAGAGCAGTCAGAACAGAAAAATAACGAACTAGTGGGAAATCTTTCAAACAACAAGAAAATTGTTATCAGAGTAAGCAAAATCCAAATGAGATGAAGTCTTTTAATACCTGCAAACATTGAGAAAGTTCTGCTGGTATTTTGATCAAACTAGTTTCTTGGTAACAGGTGCAAAAAGCTGATAGGAGGTTATTCTCCTGGAAGTGTTTATCTCTGTGTTAGTCCATATTCTCTTATTGTCATAGTTTAACCTCAGTCAGCAACTGAGCACCACACAGCCGCTCACTCACTCGCCACCCCACCCCTGGTGGGATGGGGGAGAGAATCTTCGTGGGTTGAGATAAAAACAGTTTAATAATTGAAATAAAATAAAATAGTAATAATAATAACAACAATAATAAAAGAATATACAAAGCAAGTGATGCACAGTACAATTGCTCCCCACCTGCCGACCAATGCCCAGCCAGTCCCCGAGCAGCAGCCCCCCCGGCCAGCTTTCCCCAGTTTATGTACTGAGCATGACGTCACATGGTATGGAATGTTTCTTTGGCCAGTTTGGCTGTGCCCCCTCCCAGCTTCTTGTGCACCTGCACCCTTCTCAGTGGGTAGAGCATGGGAAGATGAAAAGTCCTTGACTAGTGTAAGCACTACTTAGCAACAACTAAAACATCAGTGTGTTATCAACATTGTTCTCATCCTAAATCCAAAGCACAGCCCTGTACCAGCTACTAGGAAGAAAATTAACTCCATCCCAGCCGAAACCAGGACACTTTTTCAGTAAGAAAAATTCTTGGAATTATGACTCAATGAATGGATTTTAATGATTTTAATGACATTTTAAGACAAGAGCTGACTTATCAGTAGAATAGGGTCAGACGAGAGAAGAGGAGGCTTGACTGACCTGCTCTCAATTCTTGTAAGAATGGAAGTGCATAATGGGCATTTCCGCAATGCTACTCGAACACCCATAGTAAACTGTCAGAACTTAAAGGTCTGCTAGGACTGGTTCTTCCCTTCTTCATTTAGCTGGGTTTGACCAGGTAGGTTTGCCCTCACTCCTATTCTGTGATTTGGAGAGGCATGGAAGTGGTATATACGTAGAATGACTTTCTTCAGCCTATTCATCTCTTTGCATGAGCATATATACACAGAAACCACTGGAGTTTCAGGTGCTAGAACCTTATTTACATTAAGATGAGACAGTCTGATCCTGTTCAGGTAACATACAGAAATTGAGATAATTTTTGTTAGTGAAACAGATAGCGCTCTTTTGGTCTTGAACTTATGTTCACAAAGAAGTTCCCATCTATAGATGCCCCAAATTCTTCTTGAAATAGAATTTTAATGTCTTTATGGTTCTTAAGACTTTCTGCTTAATAGGTTAATTTCTTATAGCATTCTTTGAAATATTTCAGGTAAAGTATTTTTTATCATAAAAGACTAAGGTCTTTGGAGCAAGTTCTTTGAACTCCCTTGATTTTAAGTTAATATCAGGGCTGAGGGAGAAAAGTCATATACTGCTGACACATCTTGCACTGTATCAACCACATCATTAAGAAAACAGTGTAAACATCATTCTCAAAGGCAAAGCAATCATTGTTATTACAACTGAAATGCAAACATAGTCTTCCAAAGAGACACACTAAATCATGTGGAAGACTGGAGTTGCGAAGTCAGTGGCAGGTTAGAGAAACGCGTGTCAAGCTGCAAAATCTTGTGTAGGGAACCAGAGGATTTTGCTGAGACATTCAAATGTCAAATGAAATGTTTTATATTAGAACAAAGCCTAAAGAAAGAAAAGGACGTGGGTTCTGCTGAGACAGTGTTGGAGAAGTCCTTCAAGTGGGGAAGGGAAGGCAGGCAGAGGGAAAATAACAGGAGATAGACCTGGTCAGAATAGAACAAGTTGCAAACTGCAGCATTTTTTTCTTTAACAATGAAGCAAATCACACGAATAGGCCTTAGGCTGTCTTTATATGCACACTTTTTGCTTGGAATGAGTAGAAATAGTACCTGTTTAGAAACATGCGACATGATCAGCTGTTCCCTTTACACCAATTGCCACATAAAATCATGTGTGGGAGTATACAGCTCCATCAGGAAACGGTAACCTTAAAATTCAGTTGGGTATCTTCCATCAATTAATAGCAAATGTTAAATCTCTCACTGCATAACTAATGATACTGCCTACATTAATGCATTCTCCACTGAATAAAAAGGGAACAGAGACTGGCACTGTTAAACAGCACTTAAAATGCGGGAAAAG